CAAACTGAGCTGACAGGAGGAGCAGCCTCCAGCACAAAGAGAGAATAAGCAGCTGGATGGAAAGCAGCTCAACAGGTTCCTGAAAGGATCAGAGAGTCCTGGAATGGTCCCTAAAGGTCATCTGGGCACCTTGCACTACCCCAGGCTGCTCCAAGTTTCTGTGTGAAACAATGCTCCACACAGACTCAGCACAGGATCCAAAAGCACTTCCAGACCATGGAAAAATGGAGCAATTAAAGATCTCAATGAGAGCCAAGCAAACAGAGCAGAGGAAGAAGCAGATCAAACCCTTGGGAAGGTGGCTGATGTTCCTGGTCCCTCCCATCCATCAGCAGCTGCTCCTGGGAGCCACCTGAGCATCCCAGGGTGCCTGTCCTGGATTTGTTCTGCTTCCCACCCAAACTGAGCATCCCAAGGTGCCTGTCCTGGTTTCTTTAGTTTCCCACCCAAACAGAGCTGACAGGAGGAGCAGCCTCCAGCACAAAGAGGGAATAAACAGCTGGATGGAAAGCAGCTCAACAGGTTCTTAAAGAGATCACAGAATCCTGGAATGGCTGGAAAGGACCCTAAAGGTCATCTGGGCACCTTCCACTACCCCAAACAATGCTTCACACAGACTCAGGGCAACAGCAGCACAGGATCCAAAAGCACTCACAGACCATGGAAAAATGGAGAATTAAAGATCTCAATGAGAGCCAAGCACACAGAACAGAGCAGGAAGCAGATCAGCCCTTGGGAAGGTGGCTGATGCTCCTGGTCCCTCCCATCCATCAGCAGCTGCTCCTGGGAGCCACCTGAGCATCCCAGGGTGCCTGTCCTGGATTTGTTCTGTTTCCCACCCAAACTGAGCATCCCAAGGTGCCTGTCCTGGTTTCTTTAGTTTCCCACCCAAACTGAGCTGACAGGAGGAGCAATGAGAGCCAAGCAAACAGAACAGAGCAGGAAGCAGATCAGCCCTTGGGAAGGTGGCTGATATGCTCCTGTCCCTCCCATCCATCAGCAGCTGCTCCTGGGAGCCACCTGAGCATCCCAAGGTGCCTGTCCTGGATTTGTTCTGCTTCCCACCCAAACTGAGCTGACAGGAGGAGCAGCCTCCAGCAGAAAGAGGGAATAAACAGCTGGATGGAAAGCAGCTCAACAGGTTCCTAAATGGATCCAAGAATCCTGGAATGGTTGGGAAGGACCCTAAAGGTCATCTGGGCACCTTCCACTACCCCAGGTTGCTCCAAGTTTCTGTGTGAAACAATGCTTCACACAGACTCAGCACAGGATCCAAAAGCACTTCCAGACCATGGAAAAATGGAGAATTAAAGATC